TCGATATCATTAAATCTTACCTTTGCTGTTACTAATCCTAATCTTACTAATGCACTGTTATTAATTCCGGTGTAATCTTGAGACGAATCAGAAGGACATGGCTGCACACTGCCTGCTGGTAGTCGACTCTCCTTTATGAAGCTGATGGGACTTCCGGTATCAAAAAGTGTGTCCAAAGACAAAACACAAATCTCCTTTTCAACGTCGATCTCATAAGTAATCGTCTTGAAACACTGTTTTTCCAAAATATTCTCCAAGTCAAGGTCATCAGGTACATCCATTGACACATTTGCAATTTGATTTTTTCCTTGAAGTTGAATTCTTTTTTTAAGACAATCTTTGGACTGATGTCCCAGCTCGAAACACTTAAAACATGCGCCGACAGGTCTTTTTGGAAATCGACAGTCAGCCGCAATGTGACCATTTTTACTGCAATTGAAACATCTTTGGGAACTGAAAGGTTTTGTTGTGCTTTTATCCTTCGCCATAACTTCGTTACCAGGAACCACAGAAGTAGGTTTTTTAACCTCACGTGCAGATACAATATCTTCCTTCAAGGTGACCTTCTCGAATGCACTCAAAAGTTCAGACTTTTCTTTGAACCGCTGAATCCTGGCCTGGTTACGCAAGGAGGAGTCCGGAATACCATCTACCAAGTAATCAACTAATTCATCTTCGTCGATAGGAACAGCATTTGCCAAAATTAACTTTTCGTGAAAGTAGTCACTAAATGGTTCTGAATTTTTCCAGCTGCGTCCTTCAAATTTTCTCCTCAAAGTCAATCTATTTTGCCGGTGGTCAAACATTGATTCCAGTCCAGTGAGCAACTCTGTCACCGACATACCGACGAATTCTGATCTTGAATGAAACCATCGAAGTGCTTTCCCTCTCAATTTTGACCCCAACAGTAGTCGTCCAGTTTCTTCGTTCAATTTATAAATGGATATTAATAACAGAAGTTGATCTCGCCATCTTCTGTAGTCATCACCGGAACCTTCAAATTCGCTCAAAAGATCCTTTAGCGCATGAATGTTTGGATGTGATGACGGTTGCTGAATGGTCGGAGTAGCAGTAGAGCCACGCAAAAGATCTAATTCACGCCTTGTGAGCTCCAACTCGCGCCGAGTCAACTCATGTTCTCGTCTAATTAATTGTAATTCCCTTTCTCGTGCATCCGCATCATCAGCATCATCTTGTTCTTCGCGCGTAATATCATCATCACTCTCCGTTATATGTGGATTCTTTCGTGGGTCATCTCTAGCTTGGATCAATTCTGCCTCTTGTGTCCAATCGTCAGAAGGATCTTTCTCCTGCAGTCGCCTTATTAATTCTGCCTTGTTTCCGACAGTTGTCAAACCCAGTGATCTAGACACCGCCTTGAGGGTGGCTACTGTGAAGGTAGTGGGATCCATGGGCAAAGAAAGAGTAGGGACTCCCCACTTTATTCAGAAATTACGAAGAAATCCGAGTACGGTCGATTTGGTAGAGTTGATTTTCACGAAAATTCAGCGATTATGATGCCACAGCACGTTCACTTTGGGAAATTAATTGAAGCGTCTATCAACCGCCATTAACAAAATTTTTCCCCACTCGAAATCCAAACCTTCACATTCACAGAATCCTGAGTTTCTGCACCACCAAAATGCACTTCACTTTATGCGTTCACTTTTCTAACAGGTTTTTATAGGGTTTTCCGCACTTTTATGCACTGTTCGTACGAGAAAAAGAACCTGCAATTCTGGGCCACGTGTTACATGGAAACCTCGGAACATAAATACAAAAATTTCCAATTTATACAAATTACACACTTAACTATTTCCGTAACTGAAGCGGAAAACAGTCATAAAAATTCGCGAAACGTGATTTTACAAAAAGAAACACCAAACTGAGTTTTTCACGTTCGCTACACTGAATCGAGTTCTACGACGACTAAAATTCACGAGAAAATAAAAAAAAACTAATTTTCAGGATGTTTTCGCTGTTGATTAGTGGGTAATTAGGTCTGATATCCCACTTCTGATATTGTAATGAATTAAAGTTGATTATAATAAAAGATCTTTATTAATATCAGAAAATATTGTTTACAACCGTTTCTCGCGACAGTTCGTCGTAGACTGAATTCCTTAATTGTCGGTGGATCGTTTAGTCCCCGAAATTTGTATATAAGTACTATTGTTACATTTCTTACATAAATGAAATAATTTTTACTGTCCATGATTTCACTTAACCTAGAAATATTGAAATCAAACTTGTGTGCCTTGTATGCAATGCGTTTACTATGGAATTTCAACTTAACCTCAAATATATTGATTTGATAGTATCATGATATACATGGAATATAATAATCGCGTCACATGTAAAACAAATAAATATTAACAGTAATTAATTAACAAACATTATTTAATTTATGTTAATTCATTACATGAATTGTAAAAAAAGAATGTCACATACACAAATAGCTTATGTCAAATTATTTTTCTGTGTATTTTCTTTGCTGAGGAAGCACAGTAATTTTTGTAGTTAAAGAGACAGCAAATATTTTCGTTTTTTTAGGTATAAACTGTGTTTGTTAATGGTACATTCTACTTTGCCAACAAAACGAACCTATTTTATACGGAAGCACAGTAATTTTTTCCATAATTTCCTTACAAAAATTAACAGAAGTTTCTCTCCGTGCATTTTTGACGCGATATTTAGAACTTTTAGATGTGTTCCAATACGAATACCCGTACTAAAATTAGAAAAATAAAAAAAAACCTAAAAATTTCATGTTTTTTTAAAACATATGTAATTTGTTTATTTATAAATTTATAAAATTTTTTGGAACGCCATTCGAAAGAGCGTTTTTTGGCCAATAAGAAATGACTATTGTAGAATATTTTCTGTAGAGTTTTTATGTTAAACTATAGTGTCAAACCTTGTGACAAAAAATTGTACATTTGGGCGTTAATTGGTTAAAGGCATGTTGATGTTGCGAAATGTAAACAAAGGAAAATGTGAACAAACTAAAGACTACAATAACTATATTCTGGCATCTTTAATTTCTATAAAAATTAACATTTTTACACTTTCTTTAAGGAAAACGTAAATTACAGTGTCAAAGTTTGCAACGAAACCGTATTTGACTAAAAGTAATATAAAGCAAGTATTTAAATATTAAAATTAAATGACTTCTAAACTAGCACTTTTGACGCGTCGCAAAAATTAAACTGTTTGTGAATATCAGACGTACGAACCCTGCGAAAGATTGGATAATAACAAGAGGGAAAGGGTAAAAATTTTCCTTACCATTTGTGACCGTCCTATCGCTCACTGGGACTTTCTTATGGTCCATTAAACTGCATGTTTTTCTGAAGTTTTCTCATGTTTTTATCTGATCTATGTAAGGTATAGTTACCTAATTCTACACTACAATTCACCATTTTCATAAAAAAAATGTGAATTTATATTTATTTACAAAAATGAGAAGTATCAAAAATGTTTCTTTATTTAGTCTTATACTGCTGCTTCTTTCCGTTAAAAAAAAATAATTTATAAATTTGTTAACCAAGTCAGTAATACAAACCAAATTTATGGTGTAAATTTTTAGTCTCAAGCAAAATTCAAGTGAATTAGTTCGATTTATGAGTAGAAGTGACCTGTCAAAAAGTTTGGCTTGTGATGTACAAGGAACGAAAAGTTTAACGGTTTAAAAATATCAACAGCAAGGAACCAGACGGTGAAAGACCCAGTCAGCGATAGGACGGTTACAAATGGGAAGGGGAAATTTTACCATTTCCCTCTTGTGATTGTCCAATCGCTCATTGAGTCTTTCTCAGGGTTCGTGCGTCTGATATACTCAAACAGTTTAATTTTTGCTACGCTTCGAAAATGGTATTTTTAGTGGTCATTTTATTATTTAAATACTTGCTTTTTATTACTTTTAGTCAAATATGGTTTCGTTGCAAACTTTGACACTCTAACTAATTTTTATAGAAATAAAGGCTGCCAAGAAATTGCGATTTTAATGTTTGATTTGTTTACATTTCACAACATAAAATTGCACTTAACATTATCTCAATATCAACGTGTAAATATTATTTTGCAGCGACCATTTGGACATGATATTAAGGTCACTGTAATATTACAGATAATATTGTGAATATCCAGTGTAATGTTAGAATAGTGTCAAATAGTTATTTTCGTAACAAGGGCGCAAAATAGGTGATTGCGACGATGGCGAAATGAAGGGACCGAGGGGACACAATTTCGCGCCCGAGGCGAAGCCGAGGGAGCGAAAGTGTCCCCGAGGTCCCGAAATTTCGCCAAAGTCGTAATCACCTTTGCGCCCATGATGCGAACATAATTTTTTGTCCTAACTGCATGGAAAGTATGGCATTGAGGGCACGCACGATTAAACTCTCATAGTAGTTAAAAATTAAGCTTTATATAAACATTATATCGAATGAAGTCTCTAATGATAGAAGTTTTAAAATAGAAATAAAAAACAATGTATTCTGGAAACATAGTATTTATTTAGAACGTAGTAATTAATAATTAAACAAAACTGAAACAGGAACTTTTAAAATTGACAATTTTGATAAACGAAATGGGAACAAAACCAAATATCTCATTATTTTTTTTAGAGAAAATAAAAAAAAATTGCAAATTTTTATAGACAAAATAAAACAAGTTGAAAATGTTTGCAGTTTTATAGTCAACATAAAAAGAAAGTCGAAAATGTCGCATTTTAATGAAGAAAATCAAATAATTAACAAGCGGGCGGTAAAGTATTTTCCGCCCGCTCGGAGGTAGGGGAAGCGGGCGGAAAATACTTTACCGCCCGCTGACGTCATACAAGCGGGCGCAAAATACTTTTCAGCCCGCTTCTCCCACTCCCGGGCGTAATGTGTTACTTTGCGCCCGCCTTAAGTGCCCGAAATGACATACTTTCCGTGCAGGTAGGACAAAAATAATATTACGTGGTGCTTAGATTTTGTTAATAAATTAATAAATCTCACCTTAAGTTTAACTTCTATTCTATCGATTTCACCACCGAGTAAATCGACAATATTCTCACCATGCTTCAAAAGAAATGCCTCAAGTTCATCAATATTCTGCATTTTCTTTACTTCCTGCAAATATAACAGTGCATTTATAAAAATTGTTTTATTTTATCTGTTGATAAAGTATAATTTATTATAATATTAAGAAATATAATTCATAAAAAGTATAAACAATAATGATTAAACTTTAAATAACCTCGAGCATAGCATTGAGATCGTGTTTATCAAGGTAAGATCTTGTCAATTCTCTGCCATCAAAATCTAATTCTGCCTTATATCTCACAAGACTGTTTCCCATATCTATACCCTTAACGTCATGGATGGCTCTCACCTAAAATGAAAAATTTTAATATTATTTTAGTTCTGCCCATTCGAAACAAATTTATCCCTGGTCAATTGACTTAACCGAATTCAAATCAAATTCAGTTAGCATCGGTTAGAGTCAATAAATAATTAATTAAAATAAGTTAACGAAATATTGCATATTTAATTATTATTATATTTATGAGACCTTCCACGTCATTGAGAACAGAGCTAAAAACAAAAATTAGTTGAATGGATTTAAGTGATCAATGGCGTAAAAGATTCCTACATCCGTGTACTGCTAGATAACAGTGGGCGCTTTTGAAAAAACTTAATTTGTGATGTCAATAGGGCTGTGAAAAGTAAAAAGTCCTGTGTTACGGTCGACTTTGTAACTAAATATCCCTTTGTAATAACAAAATATAAATATAATTTTTTTAAGAAAATATATTAACAAAATACAAATATATATTTTGTTGAGTAATGAGAAGGCCTAGATACGTATCTATAGACCTTCTCATTACTACAACAAAAAATTATTAATACGGTCAAACAAAAACAAAAATTACAAAAAAATACAAATATCTATATTAAATATAATAACCAACCAAACATAGATCATCTATTCAGATATAGAATGAGGCTTCAGATATTAACCCTAGAAGGAGTAACTGGGGTGTCTGAACACCCCAAGCAAAATTCAAAGTATTCCCATGGCTTAACCAATAATTTTTTACGCTCAAAAATCGTTGATAATTTAGTTTGAACCTCTATCTTTTGACACCTGTAAGTGCCGCCAAAAGTTTTGCTCTAGGAAGAGCTCTATCTCCTGTTAAAATACGTCTGGGGTGTCTGGACACCCCAGTTACTCCCTAACGTTAGAAAAATTGTCAAGATAAGTAATTTCAATTTTTTTTAAAAAATCGTTTTTAATCAGTTAAAATCATCTGATAAAGTATAAATTGATAGGTTATGCATGAAAAAGTTGTATTTTATAAAAAAGAAACATTTTTATACTAAAATTCTATTTTTATGAAAAATAGACATTCTGTATTTGTAACAACTTATGAAATTTGAGTTAATATTTATTAAAAATTTCTGTGCTCTCTCTCTACATTCAGAAATTAAATTCTAATACAGAAAAATGTAGTATATGACAGTCAAATTTAAATTATAAATTCTATATTGTTAATAATATTTTAACATATATTAGAGGTATTAAGAATTGTTAATTAAAACTTTGATTAAATATTAATTTACAGAATCATTTCATAAGTTATTAATTTTAATGTTAATATATTCAGATATATTAAGTTTGTAAAATTTTGAATTTATAACACCATTTTTAGTAAATATTAATTGTTTAAGTCCATTTTATAGTTCATTTTTATGATTTTCACTATTCGTCAATTGTCTTTAATTTCTTTCACTTCAGATGTTCAAATAATTATGTTTTTTGGAAGTAATACAAAAACTAATTTTTTCCCCTAAAAGTGTATCTATTTAACTTTAAAAACCTAAAATAGTTTTTAAATTAGTCAAATTTTTAAGAAACTACAACGTTTTTTGTGAAAAAAGTCAATTTTGCAATTTTTTGGTGTTTTTTTGGGTTTTTATGGTTTTTTCAAAATTTTTTGAATTTATCAAAATATGAATAATATTATTGTATTCCTTACTAAAAAACCAATCAATTCATTTCAATAAATTTTTTTTACGTCAAATATAAACCTTATAGAACAAGTTTAAAGCGTGGGGTGTCGGGACACCACAGTTACTCCTTAGAGGGTGAGTAAATTAATGTACTCCTTCTAGGGTTAATGTATTGTGAAACTTAAGGAGTGGTGTGTTTAGGTTCATGAACCAATAAGATTACACCGCTGCCTAAATCTGCATGGTTTCAGAAATTCACTTGGTGACAACCTTGTGCAATAAACTATAAAAACGATTTCAACACTGTAATATTGAATAATAAAAAATGCGCTATTGCGCATGACAAAGTGTAGTAGTAGCACACTAGGCAGCATGTTCGTGACCCAGAGGAAAGACCTCTATATTCCTAGGTTTTTAGGCTCGCTGAAACCGAATATGAACATAACAATTTCTTTAATTCCCCATTCCATATTCACCGCCAAAAATAAATTAGTCTCCTCCCTAACCCCCTAGCACTCTCTTACTACCCCTTGTGGGGGATTGAAATTTTTGGTTTTATAAAAAGTCGTGTGAAAATTTTAACGGAAAGCGTTTGTAGATTTGTCGAGCCGCTTCAATGTAAAAATTTAGGCAATTCAATCTGAAATAGTGCAAATCTTGACGATCGAAATTATCTGTATTCTGAGCAAGTGTTCTGACCTAGCCAAACGAGATGGTTGTCGCTAATTATCGCTGTTCATCGCGTTAGAGAACAGTATCCTGCTCTCAAGTTGTATTTTGCAAGCGAACATTTGAACAAACAAGATGATGATTCTTTCGCGACTTTGATACATGAACTGTTGTCTAATCCAATTAATAAACTGTATTTAGATTTTCTTAGTTATTCACTTCCGCTTTTCACGAATTTAAACAAAAAACTTCAATTAGAGAAAGCCAAGATTCATCTTCTTTATGAAAAAGTTTCTCAAGTTTATAAAACTTTTCTCGATTGTTATCTTAAGCGCGATTATTTGAATAGAACAGACATGGAACAGCTTCAGTTTAAAAACCCTTAAAGAAACCCTGTTCAGTTAGAAGATATTTATTTAGGTCCAGCTGTAGTAATAGCACTTGCTCAGAATACAGATAATTTCGATCGTCAAGATTTGAACTATTTCAGATTGAATTGCCTAAATTTTTACAATGAAGCGGCTCGACAAATCTACAAACTAAAGGTTATGTATACTTTTAAACGCAGCGCCGGTACATAAAATGACGTCACGGTTAGGCTATATGGTGGGGGGGATAAAATAGGGGAAAGTTGAAACCACAGGGCCTTGAAACTATAGGAGTTCTACTGTACATTCATCCCTCACCATTGTAGTGTTATTTTTTTCAAGAAAACAAAAAATTAAGAAAACTTACTTGTTAAAAAAAATCTTCAAATTTCTCAAAACTACAAATTTTTCTTCAAATTTGAAGAAAAATCTCCCAATCTGGCAGCACTGGTACCAATTTGTACACGTTAACCAAGCTAAGAACGAAATGAGAATCGCAAAAACTGTTCGAGTTTCGTGTTAACCAAGGAAGTCTATACAGTTTATATACATCTCTGCCAGGACCGCAATTTTTGTTCGTGCTAAGAGAAAATTCGTGTTAACCGAGTACGCGTTAACGAGGGTTTACTGTATACATAATAATATTTTAATAGTTCTGTCAAGTTTATAAAAATTACTTTTGCAGATATTTGCAAAGCTGGAAAATTAAAATAGCAGCAGATGCCCAGTAATAAGGGGTGAATTAAAGTGGATTGGCACTTTTATGCTCTTAAATTCCAAACCAATTCCGTTTTTGTCCGCAATCTTAAAGAATTCCTTTCCTATTGTTAAATTGATAATTTCTATCCAATTCAATCCTCTGTAACCACGTGACCAGAATTTGAAACCCCTTTAATGCCCTTTAAAGAATTCAATGTTAATTAAAAGGCATTAACTCCACAACAAATGATTCCCTTAAACGGCATTAAAGTGAATTCAGACTCTGGTCACGTGGTTACAGAGAATTGAATTGGATAGAAATTATCAACTTAACAATAGAAAAGGAATTCATTAAGATTGCGGACAAAAACGGAATTGGTTTGGAATTTAAGGGCATAAAAGTACCAATCCACTTTAATTCACCCCTTATTACTGGGTGTATTCGATTTTGAATTGTTTAAGTTATAATCCATTGTGAATACCAGAAATCATTCTAAAACATTGAAAGGTTGATAATAAAATAGACTATATCAAGTATGATCTTATTTTCTATAATCCTAATTGTATAATTCATTTTTCTCCGTGTATTACGTCAGACGTGGTAAATTCACAAACTATGCTTGTAATCGAACTTTCGCTATGTAATATTGCAAAATTCTAGACTAGCTATCATTATGAAGGAACATGCGGAATGTAATTCTACACAGCAGTACTAGCGTGTAAAATAACCTACAAATTTTTTGAATGAAAAATTAATTTTTTAACCCTTTGAGTCATACATTTTTCATTTCATTAAAATCTATTGAAACTGGTTACTCGGGGGTTTTTGGGGTCGCTGAATACGAATCTGGCATCAGATTTTCAAAATTCAAAATGGCGGATCCAATATGGCGGACAAACAAACAAATGACAAACGACAGACTTACACGAACGATTCTCTCCACAGGTAAGTACCGACTTTAATCAAACAAATAAAAATCGACACAATTACACAAACGATTTCCTCCACAGGTGAGTATCGGCTACAATCGGACAAATCACAATCAACAGACTTACACGAACGATTATCTCCACAGGTAAGTACCGACTTCAAACAAACAAATGACAAACGACAGACTAACACGAACGATTCCCTCCAAAGGTAAGTATCAACTTCATTCAAACAAACGACATTCGAGAAACTATTACTAACGATTCTCTCAACAGGTTAATATAGCTTTTACGTTGAAAGAAGGTATTTTATTGAGTAGAAGCAGTATTATTGTATGTGCTTTTTTACATCACATCCTGCATTAAGTTTGACATTTTCAGTTACTTATCGGTTAGCAATTCTTTACTAATATCTACAGTTTGTTCAATCGGATTGTCAAAAATGGTACATTATATTCAGTATCAAAAAATTAATTCTTTTTTTTTATAGACAGAAATACTATGAAGAGGATTTTACGTTAAACGAGTTACCTGACTGTGGATTGTCAGGATTCATTCACTTTTGATTTTACTCTTTAATTTTATCCGAACGTTTTGAATCTTCTAAGTTTATTAATAAATTTATTAATACTCATGCCAGATTCGTATTCAGCGACCCCAAAAACCCCTGAGTAACCAGTTTTAAGCAAATTCTGTTTATTTTTAATTTTCGCGTCCGCCATATTGGATCCGCCATTTTGAATTTTGAAAATCTGATGCCAGATTCGTATTCAGCGACCCCAAAAACCCCTGAGTAACCAGTTTCAAGCAAATTCAGTTTATTTTTAATTTTCGCGTCCGCCATATTGGATCCGCCATTTTGAATTTTGAAAATCTGATGCCAGATTCGCAGGCTTCGCACTCCATTATGAGTTTAAAAAAAGTAGGAAAAAGTAGCCCCGATGACAAAAAAAAGTAGGAAATAGTAGCCTCGATGACAAAAAAAAAGTAGGAAATAGTAGCCTCGGTGACAAAAAAAAAGTAGGAAATAGTAGCCTCGGTGACAAAAAAAAGTAGTATACCGTAAACCGGGGCTACAAGGAACACCGGGGCTATAAGGAACAAAACTCTGTGTTCGGGTGGAGTTGAAGTTATCGGGGCCGTGTATGAATAATTGCGACTATTAATAATTTTGTGAACAGTAGTAGCTTGTAAGTGAGTTATTGTGTTTTAGTGAAATTTCAAACTTGGGAAACATTTGATTGCCGAGGTAAGTTGTTCCTATTTTAACTTCTCAAAGTAATTTTTTTTATTAAAGGGATTTATTATGGGAAGTTTTATTGAGTTCACTAAGTAATAAATACGTTTATTTTGTATTTACAGTAAGATTTACGAGAAAAAAACCAAAATTCACAAACGGCGGGTATATAAGGAACACAATTATTTCTTCCGAATTGTTAAAGTGTGTTGTTAAAACGTAAGTTATTTCCATAAATAACAAGAATTCAATAATTTTCAAAAATTTTTCTTAATTCAATAATTTGTATGTCTACTATTTTTTAATAAAATTTCCAAAAAGAATTCAATTATTAAAAAACAAATTATTTAAAAACAATTTTGAAAAAATTCTACACGAATATTCAATTCTTTTCTAAAAGAATGAAAATTTCATAGGAATTGAATTATTAAAAATTGAGTTTATCTAAATTTTTTTTTAAAAATCAATTATTTGAAACTTTTTTATAAAATCCTCGCAATAATTCAATTATTTCCATAAATAATAAAACTCATTGCAGAAATTCAATTATTTTTAATACGATTCTCATGAAATTCCTTGAAAAATGTAATTATTCTTAAAAATTTGATTAAAATTTGTCGAACGAATTCAATTATTACAATTATTTACATAAATAGCAAAATTCTTCAGATATACTAAATTCTTTTGAATATTAGTTTTGAAAAATATTCTTCACAAGAATTCAATTATTTATTTATTTATTTAAGTACCTAGTAAATGGAACTATACCCGTTTATTTATTTATTTCATAAATTTCCATAAAATTAATTAAATTAAATTGTTCTCCACAATTTAATTATTTTCAAAAATTTTAATAAAATTCTACGCAAACATTTAATTATTTTCATAAATATGTAATAACATTCTTTGGAAGGATTCAATTACTTTTATAAATAGTAAAATTCTTTGCAGAAATTCAATTAGTATCAATAAATTTTAATAAAAATGAATTAATCAAATTTTCAATTATAATTATGAACAGACAAGATTTTTTTTAAATTGAAAAAATTCTTTGTTTAATTCAATTATTTTCCAAATTTTTAATTAAAATTATTAAAAAAATTTAAAGAAACTCCTCAAAACAATTTAATTATTCATAGAAAGTCTAATTTATAATCAGTCACTATTGATAGAGTAAATGTCGGTAAAATTATTCCCTAATATCTTATTGACGGTCGTTTTTCATTAACGATTTTAGTTTTTAACACTGTTTTTAAATGGAAATTTGAAAACTAAAAATCTAAATTTGACTATTTGTTGAGAAAAGTAGCTTTTAGTAGCATTAGGCTCAAAAAAGTAGCCAAAAAGTAGCCTCGTATCAAAAAAGTAGCAAATAGTAGCTTTTAGTAGAAGAGTGCGAAGCCTGGATTCGTATTCAGAGACCCCAAAAACCCCTGAGTAACCAGTTTCAAGCAAATTCAGTTCATTTTTAATTTTCGCGTCCGCCATATTGGATCCGCCATTTTGAATTTTAAAAATCTGATGTTAGATTCGTATTCAGCGACACCAAAAACCCCCGAGTATCGAGTTTTATGAAAATAGGTTTAAAATTTCATCTGAAATACTTTTATTTTATAAAATATTACAAAAAATTGTTATTTATTATTAAAAATTATAAAAAAAATTGTAAAAAAGTAATTGTAAATATAGTTTAGGATCTAATTTGTAAAGAAAAAAAATTATCATCTCAAAAATTAGTAAGGATAAGTAAAAAATGAATTTTTTCTGAAAAAGAAGCATTATTTTTTGTTATTTATTTGTTTATAATACTTTTATTATTAACAAATTGTGAATCAACAGTTTTCTTAGACTTGTTTAGGTATGAGGAACATGCCCGGAAAAAAACCCCTAAATTTATTAATAAATATGCCATAGAAATACTGAAAACTGAGAAGGAAAAGGTGGGTCGCTGAGCGACCCACTGTGACGCAAAGGGTTAATAGTTTAAAAATGGTACGACAATAATTAAAAATAATCTATTCTATTCTAACTTAAGAGTACTGTTAACACGCCTTAATCTTAAAGCAATACATATTTATGACTTATTTTTATATGTAAGTCTTAAATATAGTCTCAGCGAGACTAGTAGAAACTTTAAGAACTCAACAGATAAAACGAGGGGGTATTTACTGGTTGAAAACGTGTACACTTCAATACACTTATTACGCTAAAATTACACTTATTACCAAGTATTACAGGGTATTACAGGGCAATACAGAGATATTTCTAGGTATTACACCCACGTAATAACGTACTATTACGCCCTATTACGCGATATTACACGACTATTACAAGAAGAGTGTACACTCCAATACGGGAGTATATACCCCCTCGAGATAAAATGAAGTCGAAATTTAGACTAGTTTTTAGTCCCCTAGCGTCTATAGTCCTCTGGAAGGGGAGATGCGCTTTTGGGCGTGATCAGGTGACGTGTCATTAGTTGTCATGGCTTTGCCTTGAGTATACGTGTTTTCTTCGTCCATTGTCACCTGTAGATTTTGATATTTTTGTGTACCGAATAAATAAATAAGTTTTTATTATATGAAGTGCAAGCATAGTTACACTGAACTGAAATGAATTTGATTCAATTAACCGATTTCTTGTCTATTATTAAATAATGATTACTTATAAGGAACATGTTAATAAATGTCATCATGGAAGTAGATGAAAAATTGGACTTCAATTTATAAAAAATAAATAAATAATTTCATTTTATTATTTTAAATAGTTAATGTAACTTTTCTTACAGATGCTTCTATTATACAATCTTTTACTGGCATCTCCTGAAACTGCAGTAAAAATAGTTAAAAAGCAGTCAAATTAACCAGGTTTTCTTTATGTGTAAAACTCTGACAAGAATTATGATGCATATCTTCTTCTAAACGTTTTTTATTTAGAAAATATAGTTAATAACTATAATTTTATATGCAATAGAAAAATAAATTTGAACTGTATTATTTACTACTTTTAAGTATTTAAGAAAGCTTTATTTTAGTCACTATTTTGACTTGCAGAGTAAATTGAAGTTTAAAAGGAAACTACTTTTAAGTCCACTTTTTGGCTATCGGCTATTTTTAAGACTACATAGCGACTTCATTCAAGCCTGAGTACCGACTTTTCTTAAGACTCTTTTTACAAACTAATTTTAAGTCTAAGATGACTACTTTTTGTTACATCTTAAAATTAGCTCGTTTGTAGACTTTATTCAAGACTTTTTTTTCTGTGTTTGGTTGCCAATATTCGGCCAATATTGGACCAATATTAACAACCGATGCTTGGCGAACCCGTTACATCCCAAGCACCAGCCCATATTGGTCCAATATTGGGAGCCTTTATTTTACCGACGATAGGTTTCTTAGCTGCCAATATTGGACCGGTGAGAAATTTCTCACTGGGTGTTTAACAATGTAATTAGTAAAGTTACACTATAAAATCCTGTAAAATGATGCGCCGGACGTGATGTTTCTATTTTTCAACGTCGGACATACACGGAGAAAAATTCTTTTTTAATGATTACAATAGTCTACATTACAGCTCGGATATGTGACCACTTTTTGGAATGATTACGAAGACTATGTAATGTGTTAAGAATTGAGTAGGAACGATTACTATAGCTGTTGTAAGGGAAACCTTCATGTTTGTACTCCTTACAACAGCTATAGTAATCATCACAAAAAGTGGTCACATATCCGAACAGTAATATAGACTATTGTAATCATTATGAATAAATTTTTCTCCGTGTAGTATTTTCAAGCAGCATTGCTGAATTACATTGTCCTATGTACAATTGTAAAAATCAAAGAGTTGCAAAAAATCACAATTTATTATTTTCAGTTACTTAGACACTTTCAATGCAAGCAAAAAATAAATTAAAAAAATTATATATTTACCATAATATCAGACTCTAATTCGGCATTTATTTTGTCAAGATTTTCTTGTGGTATACTTCGTCCAATTAAAGCTGCGACATTAGTATAAATAATAAATGAAGCTACGCCGCCCAAAAGTCCACCAACAAGAAGTGATCCGATAGCGTCAAATGCCGGATTTCCTAAATAAGAAGTTAATCCCATACAAGATGCAGCACATGCCACGCCTATTACCTACAATAATTTTAATTATTTTCAATAAAAATATTCAGAGATAATAGAAAAAACATTTTGAAACAATAAAAATACGAGAGGTATCATAAAGAATTGATATACAGTCAACTCTCGATAAGACAAAGCGCGATAACTCAAATTTTTCGGTAAGTCAAAGTAATTCTTGGGTCCCGTTCATTCCTTATAAGCATTATTAACATTTGATAACTCAAACTTTTCGATAACTCGAAGTTTTTTCGGTCTCCCTTCGAGTTTGTCTTATCGAGAGTTGACTGTATGTACAATTGCACACAAAAAACAAAGTCTCATGCTTGTTGCAACTCAAAATGAGTAAGCTATGCTACTCATTTTGAGACCAGGTTTTTTCAGAGTATTTAAGGTCAAGGAAATTTAAAAAATCTTCTTTTTCTTAAAAATATTCCTTAGTATCCAAAAATTACTGTTCCACAACATTTTTGAAGATATATACAAAAGAAAAATTTTTATACAGTGGTACTCGATTAAATTCAACCCTGACTTTCTTCCACCTCTGATTTTATTTTTGGGAATGATTAGGGACTGTTTTAGGACCATTTTGCAAAAAAGTTAAAATCGTACAGTGAGCACTTTTTTTCAATTGCAATTTTTAGATTTCTCTTAGAATTGGTGTGTAAAAAATACGTTTTTACTGTAGATTAATATATAAATCAAAGTTATTAGTTAACCAAGTTTTAATTATTTTATTCGAGTATGATATCGCACAGTAAACCATTAAGAATAAGACTATGATTAATGTACCATCTGCAATAAAAACAAAAATTATTAAATTGTTTCAAAGTTATGATGAGGAAAATGAATGTCTTCCGAAAGTAGTGTGTCCTTCGTGCAAAATAAATTTATATTCTGATATTGTCAGGAACTGAATTTTACCAATAGACTTCTCGCAATTTCGCTTAAAAAACAAACAAGATTAAATGAATTTATTAAATGTGACTGTTATTTTTGTGAATTAGTAAGATCGAATAAAATGAAAAAAACTTATCCCAAAGAATGTTATCTTCACTGAACGTAAATATGATATGAAGACGATTAAATCGAAAAATTATGAAGTTACTAAACGCTGTTCTAACTGTTTCTCTCTTGTCCAGAAAGGTAAAAGTCATATTTGTAAAACCTCAAAAATTGTTGATAATATGCAGAACATTACAAACACTTTTAATTAAAAAACGAAGGAACAATTAACATCCGACTTTATTAAAAATGTTATTAAAGAGAAAGATGAGTCCAACTCAACAAAGTTATTGCAATCAAAAAGGGGAAATTTCCTCAAAGTTACGATTAGGAACCCCAAAACATCGAAAGAATCATTATATTCTGTAGAAGATTTTCAAAATATCCGAACTCAGTTCAGTTTAACTTACAAAGATAAACGTACTACAGGGATTGCGACTGCAATTCACACAGCAGCGAAAAATTATAAAATTATAGAGAATTTCTGAAAAAGAAAACTACTCGAAATCAATCATACCTTGGATAATTTGTTTCAATATAAGACTTTTGATTTTATCAATGTACAGAAATGCTGTATCTGTTGTTCCCGAGTTGGTTGTCTATTTTATCGATCTACGTGGATAAATTGAGTACATATGTAATGGAATCACGCAACACTGATAGAGAACATTTGAAATTCGGTATATATAGAGAAGGCGGTTTTTTAAAAGTTTGTCTCAATATACAGTCAGATTCAGAACATGATTTTATTTAAAGTGAAAAAAAAGTGTAGTCGTCAATTGTATAGTGATGGATAAAAGACAAAAAATCGAAAAACTCGAGTGTTGAAAACTTGTTTATTCTTGCTCTGGCCCCCTGTGCTCAAGAAAAAAATACAAAAATTGTATACACTCATAACTATCATCCAAACGAGCAACGATGAACTTATCTTAGATTTGATTCCTCTTCCGGAATTGAATTTATAACTTGGAGTTGTTAACACATTATTTTCCCACATGTTAGAGGAATTTGAGGAAGAGGCTAACAAATGGGTAGAAAGTTACAGTGTCCAACGCGAAATTAAACATGGCAGCCCTTTTTCAAGGGAAATAGTTGTAAATTATTACTAAATAAAGTTGATTTAATGCGTTCAACCTGTAGCTTAGGCTGTTTAAAATACGTTGATTTCAGTGACATCAAAAGTACATGCACGGAGAAAAAAAACGGCAACACAACTTTGGTCCCAAGCAGTATTTGCCTGGCGAACGCAAGCTGTATTAACTTGACACTCCAAAGCTAATCTAAAGTCAAGTTAACGCAGCTTGCGTTTGACAGGCAAAAATTGCTTGGGACCAAAGTTGTGATGACTTGAATGCTACTACTTGGGTGACTCAGGCAGTTGCTACTAGAGTCGCCCGTTATCGTTGCCGTTTTTTTCTCCGTGTGCAGTATTTTATCATGTAAAACATCAACATACCCTAATTATTCTCAAACAGAAAATCAGAGATGGAAGAAAGTCAAGGTGGAATTTAATCGAGAACCACCGTGCATTACGAAAACTCTACATGTTAGAGTTTCGTGGCCATGAAAAAAGTTTCTATATGGTTATCATTTCCAGAGGAGCGCTTGCTATGGTAATGCTAACCATAGCAACTGTTATAAAGTTAAATTGCTCTAAAAACAGCATTTTTTGATTGTATGAGAAAAATGTGTGTAAAAAAAAGGTATTGTAATGTAGATGAAAATAGTGATAATTATTCATTAATAACAATAATAAAAATGTGATAAAATCAATTTAACTTATTAAATTGAAATTTCTAAAGAAACTCACTGCTGCAAAATCTTCCATGAGGACGACGTTAACAGAGGGATCCAACCCTGACAAAACGTACTGTTTAAACTTCAGGCGCTTCTCCAAGGCTCCTTTTTTAATGGAATTAATTGCCACCATTAAAGTTGCGCCTTCCGAAACCAAGGAACCTCCTAAAATGAAGTAAGCCCAATAGAATGAATCGACTGGCTCTGGAAAAAGAAGACCATGCATTCCATGGTAAATGGAAAGACCAGTTCCAACACAAAAAATTCCTACACCAGATATTAAAGAAGAAACGTATTTCATATTTGTGTATCCGTATGGATGGTCTGGATTTGGATTCTGGAATAAGAAAATTTGGATATTAGCATTTATTTCTGTAACAACTTAACGAAAATAATATATTTTTTTAAGTAATTAATATTAAATTCGTATTTGGAAACCTTGAAAACTTAACTTATAAAACAAAATGTACAACAGGGTAACCGCTGGACCGGGAAATGACAGGAAATTTTTTTCATGTGGAGAACGTTATAAGTAATTAAACACAGTGTTTATTAATAAATAAAGTGAACATTTATTCAATATGATGAAAATTGATAAAGTAATATATGTGCCGAGCACTAAGTTACGAAGTGAACCGGCAATAATTTCAGATGAGATTTTCACACAGGTTTCGTACACTGTTGTCATGTACTTAAATTTAAGCTATAATTTCTAACACCCTCCCATAATTTTTTTTGTTCTTTTATATCACAGGACCACAAAATTTTTTTAAAGGAAGTATTGACCGGATTATGTTATTTATATGTTTTTTGAGTCGCTGAATTCGAATCCGAAATCAGTTTTGCGCCATCATGTCAACTTTCTTAACAAATTAATAAAATTCGAAAGAATTGACTGTAAACAAGATTTAAATAAAAATAAGCAGAAGATTCTATTAAAAAACAATTTTGAAACACTGAAAAAATATTATATAATGTTAAACAATCAAAGATACTCGTAAATATTCAAAATTTAAGATGGCGGATCCAATATGGCGTCGATTTTTTTAAAATTTACCCAATTCGCCTTAAACTTGTTACTCGGGAGTTTTTGGGGTTGCTAAATACGAATTTCACTCTAGTTTTCGAAAATTCAAAACGGCGGATCCAATATATCTGACCAATTTTTAAAAAAATTATTGGATTTACCTGAAACATTATACTCGAGGGTTTTCGGGGTCGCTGAATACGAATTTCACCTTAGTTTTCAAAAATTCAGAATCTGATAAATTTTTTAATATTTCGTTAGCCATATTGGATTCGCCATTTTTGATTTTTTAAAACTAAGATGAAATTCGTATTCAGCGACCCCAAAAACCCCCAAGTAACAATGTTTCGAATAAATCTGGTAAATTTTTTAAAAATACGTCAGCCATATTGGATCCGCTATTTTGAATTTTGAAAAACTAAGGTGAAATTCGTATTCAGCGACCCCAAGAACCCCGGAGTAACAAGTTTCAAGTAAATCTTCTGCTTATTTTTATTTAAATCTTGTTTACAGTCAGTTTCTTCCGAATTTTATTAATTTGTGAAGAAACTTGACGTGATGGCGCAAAACTGATTTCGGATTCGAATTAAGCGACCCAAAAAACATGGTCCGGTCAATACTTCCTTTAAAAAAAATGTTGTGGTCCTGTGTATTGAACATTAATGATCATTCTTCTTTTTTTAGAATAACATATGGGCAATTCCACGTGAGATTTAAGTCGACCTCTTAAAATCGGCCAAAAATATTTTTTTTCTATTCTGTATCGAAAAAAAACAGATACGTATTTTTTTATTTATGTTTAATTGTCCAAATTTTCGAAAATTTTGACTTTTAATTGTAGACCTATATTCAGTAGCTTATAAGTCCGAAAATATTGAGTTTAGGAAAAAGTTGTCAAAGAATGAAAGTTTTAGTTTTCTTTCGACTTTTAAGAAATATAAACAAAAAATTTTTTTTTATTTCTATTTTTTTTATTTTCTTGTACCTTATAATAATATAGGGTCTACGCTGTAAACAGTTTTAAAAAGTTAAATGTAAAAAAAATCCCACTGTGATGCTTGCAAGTGATTTTTAAAAATATTTTAAAACTCATTTAACACATCAGGCCCATTTCGGGACTTTTTGGAAAATCTTCTCTATATTATAAGGTACAAGAAAATAAAAAAAAATAGAAATAAAAAAAAATTAATTTGTTTATAAAAAATTTTTTTTTAATAACAAATTAAAAAAAAAATTTTTTGTTTACATTTCCGAAAAGTCGAGAGAAAACTGAAACTTCCATACTTTGACAACTTTTTCCTAAATTCAATATTTTCGGACTTATAAGCTACTGAATATAGGTCTACAATTAAAAGTCCAAATTTTCGAAAATTCATAACTCGAAAAGAACAATTAAACATAAATAAAAAAATACGTATCTGTTTTTTTTCGATACAGAATAGAAAAAAAATATTTTTGGCCGATTTTAAGAGGTCGACTTAAATCTCACGTGGAATTGCCCTTATATATAAGAAAATCTTTATAATCAAAGAAAAATATAAATTACAATGAAATATAACTAATTTTTTATCCCACATGCACAAAAATGGCGCTTTCTGATAGCAGACGAAAGAGAGGAAAGTCATTCATTTCTTCGACCGTATGAAAATGGCGGCCGTGTTCTCCCAAGGGCAAGAAAATTAGCTGTTCACATGCATTTTTCTTGCCCATGGGAGAAAACGGCCGCCATTTTCATACAAGTCGAACAAGTGAATGACTTTTACTCCCTGTCGTCTGCTAACTGAAATCACCGCTTTTGTGCATTAGGAATAAAAAATATCGTAAGTAATACGAGAATAAAGGCAGCCAATTTCTTTATCCTCTTGTTGCTTAATATACTATTATTTTAATTTTGAGAAAGAATTCGAAGTGTTTACAGACATTATTTATTTTACTATGTCGTTTACTATGTCGTTTAAATTTTTAAGCATTGAGAGGTTTTGTTAAAATATTTGGTGTTTGATTTCCCGTAGGATAGTATTGTATTTCAATTTGATTGTTTTCATACATTTCACGAATGTAATGGAACTTAACTTTAATGTGTTTAGATCGTTTGCTAAAAATTCCCGTTTTAATTAATTGAATTGAACTTTGATTATCAATGTTAAAGAGTAAATTAATTCAAATATTTAATTCATTTAATGAAGCATTTTTAACTGTTGCTTCCTTTCAACATTCTGCTGCGGAAATAAATTTAGCCTCAGTTGAAGATGATGCTACAATGGGTTGCCTTCTTGAACACCGAGCAATTGGTCCTTGAGACAGCATCATGACGAATCCAGTGGTGCTTCGTCTTGTTTCAATATCTATGACATAGTCAGAATCATAAAAGACATCCATTTTTGTTATATTAGTGTTTGCTTTGAACAGAACTTCATTTTCCAGTGTTCCCGATAAATATTTGAAAATCCGTTTCACCGATGTGTGATTTTCCATTTGACGACTTGCAGCTCCCACTGCCTGTGAGATATCAGGTCTTCTTTTGGTTGATAAGTAAACAATATTTCCAATTGCTTCTCTGTGTGGAAAATTAATTTTACTTTGTTTGAGAGTTCGTTGTTCTTGTTTTTGACTTGGAGTTACAATTGGTTTACAGTTAATCATGTAACGCGATAATTAAGTAACTGAATAATATGCATCTATCGGTTCTAGTACAGTTTCTAAATATATTCCCTTTACCAATTTTATCTCATCGGGAGGCACTGTTAAGACGAACGAAGGAAGCGAATGACGTTGTGACGAGAACAGCAGCAATGAAAAATGGAAACTTACCAACGCTGAAACAATTCCACACCGCTGGTTAATGTTTCTAAGGTCAGCAAATAGTCCCAATTGACACAAATAATTTACACAAAAGATTACACAATAATTAATATTCAATAACGATTTATTATCCACTAATTACACGACTTTAAATAGTTATAGTTTAAACCACGCCGATTCTTTCGATATCACTTTTACTCTTCAATACTCTCTGCTCATTATTTCTTTCTTCCGTCGTCGTTTCTCCGTCACTCCTTTGGTCCGGAACCACCTGTAGGGAAAACTCTGAAACCATCGCTGAAATTCGCATTCATTAATAACTCATATGCGGTCTTCAATTATGTGTCTGATACCATAGTATAGCGACAAAACTAACGTTGATAAAATAAATACGCGCAATAACGTCGCTCTTCTATAAACTCCGCTTTCGAGAACGAGTGTCATATACTACTTTATATAATAAATGCACAAAAAGTCAAAGAAATTGCACGTATATACAATGAAGGACACAAATAATTGCACTGTTGTACTATCAAATCTTCATAAACGTCTGGTCGCGCGGGGGGGTTCGGGGGGCGGAGCCCCCCGACTACAAAACAACCAACTCAAAATAATAATAATTTATGACATTTCAAAGAACGGCATTTTCTAATACATCAAGAGACTGGACGCGTCGGGGGGCAAAGCCCCCCGAAACCTAGTCGCGTTCTTAGACGTATCAATAAAAAGTATGATAAAAGAATAAAAACAGAATTTTTCACGCGAGCGATCTCATCAAGAAGGTTAGAAACTCTCAGAAAATGGCGCGAGTCGTGTAAACTTTTTTACCGACATGCATTCTAATTTGATTTTCTTCTCACAGATAACGCATTTGTAGTTGTGCTTTCGCCGCTAAATAGCAAGTCACTACAACGTTTCTGATTAGCTGTTAAATGAAAACTGTGAAATAAAAGTGTGAAATAAAGTAAAAAGTGTGAAATAAAGAGACTAGGAACAATATACGCATGCGCGGAAATATTTATATGATCGTTCGCTTATAAAACGCCGTTTCTCGCACATTTTCCTTGCACCAGAAGTGGGACTTTTTATATGCATGTATTATATAAAATTTTTTAGAATATTTTTGGTGTAAGCCATTTGTGTTAAAAATATTCCTTTTTCGTTTCTCTGTATTTCGATGCCAAGAATAGACCTTGACTTCAACCATTGTATTGAATTGTTCGATTACTTTCTCTAATTTTGATGATTCTTTTCTGATTATTAAACCATCATCGACATAAATTGCTATAATTATTGAAGCATCAAGATTATACAGTGTCAGCACAAAATATGGCAGTCTTGATAACTTTAAAATTATTATCGGGCGTCGTTCTGTGTTGTTTGAAGCAATCTTTTTATGCAAGCTATAAACATTAGAAATATTGGTAGCTGTTACAGACAAATCCAATACCTTAACTATATCACTACAGATAGAGATACGATTTTAATTTATTTTTTGTTGCACACCACAAAGATCAGCATGTTTGCTAGTGTCATCCACGAGAGAAGAAATTCTATTAGAACTATTAATAATATTTTGTTTAAGGGATGATACAGTATCGTTAAGTGCCTTATTAAACGATTCTTGCTTAGATTAAAAAATTTCAAGCACCTGAAAAAGTTTTTCTTGAAATTCTTCTCCAGCCTTTCTTTGCCCCTTGAGCGACAGGAGCCTGTATGGCATCAGAAACTGCAGACGGTAGTGTGGTGAATGAACCAGACTGGGTGTTGTCAGTATTATCAATAGAATATTTTTAGTAAATTTTCCGTTTGCTCCGAGCTAGAACCTTTTCGCCTCAAGATGTCACCACTAGATATGCATTTGCATTTATAACAAATAAAATGTTCGGTTCCTTTTTAAGTTTTTCGAATTGTTTTTTGAAAAGATTAATATTCACACATGTTAGATGAGCAAGTACCTAACATTTACAACAAGATGAAACTTCAGATTCTCCTCTAACAATCTGCTTGAAACACTCTGTGCAAATTAACATTATGGTAAAACAGAAATCAACAAGTTTAGAAATGAATTTAACACTAAATTCAAGGTAAAAATTCTCACACGTGTTTACTGACATGTAATTCAATGTATTATTTGATATTTTTTCTTCAAATAATTACCAAATTCACTTCGAAAGTAGAAATTAGCATATAATCTTCTAATTTCTATTAAACATTATAACGCAGATAACACAAAAATTGATAGTAGCATCTTGTACCGATAAAAAATGTTTGTGGAAAGTTCCTCACTCAAAATCATTAGAAAAATATGTTCTTACTTCACTCAGTGAGCACCAATGTTTAACCCGTTGCCTGTATGGCCATAACTGTTTCCGACCCACCCGTGGGTCGTGTTCACTATCACTCAAAATAAATATAATTTGTATATAAGTTGATAGATATTTTTCTTTATATCAATATTATAAGAAATTATAAGGGTCATTAATAATATTTTAGAAAATAATTGAATAATTAGTTACAATTTAAATATATTATACTATTTGAAAAAGTATCAGATTCCGCTGGTCATTTTGGGACAATCATGTTGTATTTTTCTCAAACAGTTAAGGGGTTAAAAGAAAAATTTATGAAAACGTATCCTGCGACAATATAGCTTGTACTTGCAGAAGAGAACAACAATGTGGAAGTTGCTACCAGTGATGAAATAGAAACAATTTTAAAGATTCAGTCATCGGAGTGCATGAAAATGTTATAAAAAATAGAGCAAATGGAGCCTCCGAAAAATTGTTGTGACAGTTTATTGAATTCATTAGCCGAAAATACTTCCACAATTTGCAAAAACACTTTAAAAAATAAAGCATTTTGGAAGTAAGAAAGGCAGTTTCGAATAACTGGCTGAAGGTGTTACGGATTATTATTTACCTATGCGAAAAATAAAAAAGCAAATTGGACGACAAAATCGGAAAACTTTTTTTTTCGCAAAGGCGATGTCTAAAACACCGACTATAAAACATAGCATCACAAGTGAACCACTAACAAGGACAGCTTACAAATCTCACTTTGGCTTAAAAGGTATTCAATTGGGATTAGTTATATCACCAAAAAATCATCAAATATTTAACAAAAAATCTCAATCTGAAACTGAAAACAAGTTATTATGCTCAGGTTGCTCAATGTCAATTTTTAACATTCAAAAAACAGATTTTATAATTTACGCATCTTTTAATGAATCTTTTTTATTAATTAAAGTTGACTTTGATGAAGAATTCACAACAAATATGTAATCAACAAAATGCTTCACAATGTTCGTACTAACAAAGAAAATAATTAAATTGTAACTTGTCAAAGCTCTAAAGAATACATTTTATTAATATTAGTATATTAATAAAAATTACATTTTATGTATTTTATTTGTCTAATTTATTCTAAAAGATTTAACTTATTAAATTTATCATCCTTAAAAATAGAGGAACTTGAATTATCCGCAGCACATAAAATTACCATAATTTTTTCACTTTTACCTAACAAACAAGAAGGCATTTTGCCGCCCAAAATGCTAAAAACTTTTAATCTTTGGTTAAGTCTTTCGACATGCACTCTTGCACTAGCTATATTTGATGTTTCTACAGCATCAGTTGTCGAAAACTGAGGAGCTCTCAAAAAAGCAGGTCTTATTAATTTTATATTGTGATCGACTCATATTTCATCAATTAAAAAGCCTGTATCAACCATAATGGCTGAATTTTCATCTAAAGGTTCTATTAAATGTCTTTGTTCAAATATAGATTTATCCGAAGCTCGACCTCCATATAGCCTTTCTTTGTAATTTGAACATCTTGTGATTTGACAACAGAGATTTTTTGGTTTTTGTATTTCGATCTGCGTACAATTTAAAATGATAGTGGTATCGGAATAATTATTATCGAAACATGCGATATGTCTCTAATAATTTCATCTTTAGATGAAAAATGAATATATCTTTTGAAAATTTCGTCCAAAATGTCTAACATGTTGCAAATAATTTCTCAACAATATCTCGCAGCAACGTTTTGGAATAAAATGGACAAGGAAGCATAACTCAAATTTTGTTTCAATTTTAAAAACGTCATTAAAACTCGATGTCTCACTTCCAAAACACGAACGTGGTTCTTTAATCGAGGATCAGCTATTTCGACAGAAGCAACAATATTGTGAAATAATTTTAAACTTTGAATGCCGGTTGTTCAGTAAATCTCCACTTGTCACTTGTGTTTCAGCGTCTTTCTTTCTTTCTTCATTCAAATCATTTAAATTGTCCACGTTCATTCCGTCAGAAACAATTTAATCTTTTTCCTGACTGTGACATTCGTTATCATTTAAAAAATAATCACAAGAGTCGTCTACTTTTTCGTTGAGTTTTTATTTCATTAAAGACTTTTACTCACGATTTTCCACTCGCAGCTTTCTACTTTCATCAATTTCTTTAACGACTTCAACACTCGAATTACGTAAATTTACTGATGGAACAGATGCTTTTTTAAGGAATCTAGCTCCAGCAGAATAATCTACAAAGATAGATATAATTAAGCAAAAATTAAAGACAATGAACATAAATAAGAAGAGGTTATGTAAGAAAAGTTATTGAATAATAATAATTAATAATAAAATATATCATTTCTTTAATAACTTACCAGGTTATTGGTTCCATTTCACCAAATTTGTTTTCGAAATTAACTTTCAAATCTCCAGCCTTCGGAAACTTATGAAAAGAAATATTTGAATCTCGGCACTTATTGCTAATACAACCAAAAAACTGAACAAAATATTTTACTCTTGGGTCAAATTTTCTCCAAATAATCAAAGATGGTCATGAGTCTTTCAATTTTTGAGAAACTTGGTATAAATGTAGTGTTTTATGACAGAAGATTGTAGGAAAAAAAGATTTTTAGAAATTTTCAAAATTGTGAATTTTACCGTGCATCAAACATTAAAGTACATTTTTTGCAAAACGAATAACTTTTATCCATTTAGTTAGATTTTGTTTATATTTCAGCTCATAATAATTACTTTTCTAACAATTTAAAGTGCAATATTAAAAAACAAAATTTGCCCGGAAAAAAAATCAAAAAAATTTTGATTTCATTTTTTCGGGCATAAGCACACCTTAGATCTTTTTTAACTATGATATTTGGATTCCTTAACCTTTCCAGAATTTTTTGCAAAAAAAATTCCTGGAGACTTTAAAACTAACCGAAATATCGAAATTTTTGTCCGGCAGCGCACATACTTTGCACTTACGCAAATGCGTCGCATCTGAGGTACATGACTTGCATGATTTTGTTTTGTTTCTGTTTAGATTTTTTTTAATTATACTCACTTGAACTGATTTGTGAATTCCATAGGCTAAAATTAATTGATTACATGTATCAGCAGCTGAATGAATACATTCCGAAAACATACTGTGAGATCCAGTATAAAGCCAGGCAAACAATTTGAAAAGAAAGTTGCAAGCATTTCTGCAAACAAAAATTATTTTTAAAACATTTTTTTAATTTCATTTGATACGAAAACATTTCAAAAAACATTATTTTGCATTAACAAAAATAGATAAATTATATATAACTAATAAAAAAGATATTCTTACATTACTATTGCAGTGACAACAACTCTTCCAGATCTTCCAAAGAGACCTTCCGGAGCAACATTTTGAGTTTGATTACTAACTTGTCGCCGATAGTCCCTTAACATTCGCTTTACTGTAAAAATATCTGAAAAAAGTGAGTAAATTTTTAAAATTTCCTTCTAAGTGATTCTACGTCAGTTCAACGGTATTTTGAAGTAAATAAATGTATTTTAATAAAACTCAGGAATTATATAAAAACTTTATTAAAACTTTAAAATTTGTTTGAAAATTTTTTAGAATGAAAAACCAAAGAAAAATGTTAATGAATGATTCTCCGCGTAGCGCAAAATTTAATGTCCATTAGTGTCCAATCTCTCAAACCCTAGGTTTACACTAGATCCCCAACAAGAGTAGCACGCAAATCAGGGCCCCCTCTCATCCAATAGAACAAACATAACGAACCACCATTCTTGGTTTTAATGGAATCTACCATGCAAAATAGAAACCTGGATAAATATGACCCAATCGATGTAGGTAAACTGATTGGTGGTGTTATCCACGGAAAAAGAAGAATTTACACCAGTGGAAGAAACCAAATTAAAATTTTGTGCAAAAAAGGTTTCATTCGAATCCAACCGGAACATTTAGTGTCATAGTCATAGAAAATATGGACCCAGAAAAAAGAGAGTTGATTGTTGCTGCGAAAAGGAGAATTAATAGACGAGAAAATCAATACTCTGATATCGTGGATTTGACCGTCAAGTTAAAAATGATTCAGAGGAAGACAAGAGTCTTCCTGAAAATACTGCTAAGGATCCGCCTCTGAGAAGAAGAGATCCTCTGGAGGATCTGCAGGACGGGGAGTCAGACCGTTCTAGCGAAGCTATGGAAACATCGTCGGTTAGTGACGTAGGTTTGCTTATCCAAAAAGATATGAACAATGACGAATTTAAAGATGATCAACAACTCGATCAACAATCCACTAAGACTATCACGGAACTGGATCTTCCGGTCAATCTGCCCACAGATAACAATAGCAAAATTGACCCAGCACCCTAGTTGAGAAACTATCGAGAACACATCATCCCAACACATAGTGTCTTACAATCACTCCTTTTTCTTTTTTCATAACATTAATTTACCTTAGCTGTAAGAAGTTGGTTTTTTTTTACTTTTTAAAAGCATTTGGTATACAAATAGTAATAAAAATAACTTTTTCTACTTTAATATCCATCAACGCGGATTTAGTTAAGTCTTTTAGAATTAAGTTTGTTTGGTCTACCTTAACTTTATGGTTAAAATAAATTCTCCCTTTTAGTTGTACCTGATACACCCTCGGTTAACTCGTAATTTGAGTGCAAAAAAAATTTAGAATGACAGTGCAAACAAATCCATTGCTCAGATGCGCCTTTTGGAGTGCAAGAAGTGTCAAAAACAAAAAAAGAAATTTGCAAATCATGGCTTTCCAACACAATCTGGACATTATTTCGATAACAGAAACATGGCTTTCATCAGATAATAAAGACTGGTTTTTAAAAGGTTACAGCTCCTTTATATTCGACAAACCCGGAGAGGAAGCCGGTGGCGGGTCAATGTTATTGGTCAGAAGGTCAATCATTACTGAGATGCTCACACTGAAAGGTTCCTGGACTGAGACTATGGAGGCGGTCGGAATCAAAGTTCAAACATCGGATACCTGTCCGACAGTACGAGAGAAAACCTAAAATACATGGAAGCAAATTCTGATCAAACCTAACCTTGGCTGAGTGGCTACGAGGCGATCAACAAACTACCAAGGTCAGCGAAGGAACACTTGATAGAGATCTTCAACGAGTGTTTAAGGCTCTCGCTCTTCCCGGCGAACTGAAAGCACTCGTTCGTCAAATTCATCCCAAAACCACAGCTCTAGTGTTGGGAATCAACACTTCATTAAGAAACAAGTTTTAATGAAAGAATTCAATTTTAATGTTCCATTGATAATACAATTGTTCGTGGCTAGTGTATGAAAAAAAAGTAACAATATTCTTTATTTAACTGTAACTGTGTAATGATTTGTTTGTGATAGTGTATCAATGTCTTTACTGTAAAAGGCTTTGCAACAGACTAACAGACCGTGCATCCTTCGGTTCCTTCCGGGTCCTCAGATTTTAGTGACGTCAGGGAGTGCAATAAACACTCAGGTAGATCCGAGCTCCGTGTGGTGTATTTGTGTTAGTATATATATTATTGTTGCATTTCAACACCTTTCCTCAACGATAATATGTATACAAATTATTGCGATTTTAAACCGCATTTCTGTGATAATAGTTGTAGTCGAATTCTGCTTAGTGGTTTTGTAAGCATATCGGCTTTCATCTCTTCTGTGCAGCAGTATTCAAAAAGAATCTCCTCCTTGCTTCTCAAATCCTTGATGAAATGGAATTTGGTATCAATATGTTTCGTTCTGCTACTAAACTTCTTGTCTTGAATCATCTTTAAACAACTTTGATTGTCTTCGTAAATTAGTAGTGTAGGTTTTGTTAACAGAAAATCTTGCACTAATTTTTTTTTTTTGTTCCAAAGTGCTTCCTGACATGCTTCTGTTAAAGCGATGTATTCGGCCTCAGTTGAGGACAGCGCGACACATGTTTGTTTCCGACATCCCCAGCTGATTGTAGCATTAAAAAATTCAAAAATGTAACCGCTATTAGATTTTCTGTCACTGGGATTTTCCGCCCAATCTGCATCGGCGTAACCAGTGATCTTTCTTTCTCCGTCAAGTCCACATAATATTAATTCGTAGTTCTTTGTTCCTTTCAGGTAGCGAACAACCCTCTTTAGTTCCGTCCAATCCGATGATAAAGGTTCCTTGTTGTATTGACTGAGAATTGTCACACTTGCAGCAATGTCGGGTCTTGTGTTTATTGTCACGTACAATAATGCTCCGATGAGTTGCTGGTATTTTTCACTTGTATCCATTATAGGTTCATTTTCTCTAGCTTTTAAATACCCTGTATCCAAAGGTATACCTGATGGTTTTGCATCCTCTAGTCCAAATCTTCTTATAATGTTGTCAATGTAGTTTGTTTGTTTCATGCAGAAAAATCCCTCACTATTCTTTCTTATTTCAATTCCCAGGTTGTGAAAAATTGCATGTATTCAAAGTGATATTTAATTTTTCGTTCCATATCCTTCTGGTTGCTGCATGTAGATAACTTCATTTAAATTTCCATTCAGGAAAGCTGTTTTTGCGTCAAAATGCTTTACTGTTAGGTTTTTCTTACCTGCTAGGGCTAGCAGTATTTTTAGGGTTGTTTGTCTTACTACAGGAGCAAAAACTTCATCGTAGTCAGTTCCGAATTTTTGGGAAAAACCTCGAGCAACGAGTCTTGCTTTGTATCGTTCAATTTTTCCCTCCGCACTTTGTTTAGTTTTAAAAACCCACTTGCAGGAAACAATATTTGCATCTTTCGGCGCAGGTACGATGTCCCAGGTATCGTTCCTTTTTAACGCGTTTATTTCCTCGTCCACTGCCCCTTTCCTTTCTTCTTTATCGTCACTTGTCAATGCTTCCTTCAATGTTTTAGGATCTTCTTTTAAAATAGTTAGTTTTGACGTAGCCGTATACCAATTTGGTGGTACACCTTTATTTATCCTTCCCGATTGTCTCGTTTTGATTTCATCGGATTTTTCTTGATTGTTTTTATCTTCTTCTAATTCTTCATTGCTGGTTTCTGTTGATGTTTCCCACATTTCTTCTGTTTCCTCGTTGATTTCATTAATGCTTGATGGTAATACAATTCCCGTTGGGTGTGTGCCTTCTATTGCATCTATCTTGTCAAGAAAGATCACATCGCGACTTATTTTTACTCGATTAGTTCCTTTTTGTAGAAATCTAAAACCTTTTGACTCTTCTGAATATCCGATAAAGGTTAATTTTTCTGCGTTATCATCCAACTTTCTTCTTTGTTCTTTGGGCACTTGGATGTATGCATCGCAACATTTTCTCTGTTGCTCTTGTGGGGAGGCGATTCTGTAAAAAATTTGCTGTGCTTACAGCTTCGGCCCAATACTTTTTCTCTAAATTGCTGTCCAGTAACATACATCTTGCCATTTCCATTAGTGAACGGTTTTTTCGTTCGGCAACTCCGTTCTGCTGTGGAGTATATGGGACAGTCTACTGTATTTTTATTCCTTGATTTGTCAAATAGTTTTGTAGGTCTGCGTTCACATATTCCTTTCCTCGATCCGACCTTATGCACTTAGAAATTCTGTTGTTTTGTGTTTTCACCAGTTCAAGAAATTGTTTAATACAAGTTGTTACCTCATCCTTAGTCTTTAAGAAATATACAAAAATAAACCTTGAGTAGTCGTCTATAATTATCATTACATATCTTTTATTAGATGGGGTTAATGTTTGCATTGGTCCGCAAACATCTGTGTGAATGAGTTCGAGAATTTCTTTCGTCTTAATTATGTTTTCCTTTTGAAAAGGTTGTCTGGCCATTTTTCCTTTTATGCAGCATTCACAGATTTCTTTCCTTCCACAGTTGTTTATGGTTATTCCTGTGGCTAATCCCTTTACTGCGAGGTCCATAATTGCACTTGGATCCCTATGCCCAAAACGTCTGTGCCAGGCATGTTGACAATTGTCTGTCTCCATGTACCGCGTTTATTACTGTATGGGCCTTCTCAATAACCGTTTCCAACGAATATAAATCTTCCTTGCTTTTTCCTAAACGCGCACAAGCAATCACTTTTCCACTTTTTACAATTTTACAGTCACTGTCCTTGAAATTCACTTCAAAACCTTCTTTGTTCAGTTTTTTCACTGAAAGTAAATTTGATCCAAACGATGGAACATAGAGCACGTCCCGCACTTTCACTTTAATAACCTTATTGTCAACGATGTAGTTTAACATTCCTGAGCCTATACCTTTTACTTCACTTTTTTTACTGCTGTCCGCCAACTGTACAAATCCTTTAGCTTCCGAGTTAAATTCTGTAAAAAATTCCTTAGAACTGCACATATGACTTGTTGCTCCTGAGTTCACATACCAAAAAACATGCTTACTTTTTTCATTGACACCTAAACATGATTCTTTAAATGATGTTTCCTCTATTTTAGCTATGAATAGAAATTCATCTTCTATTTCCTGTTTCTCA